TTACCAAGTGAAACATGCAGTCATTCATGTATCTGGCCTTCCCAATTGACTTTGCTTGCCGGAAACCAGTTGGGAAGGTTGTAAATGGTAGTCACGTGATCCTGGGACTCTGAAACTGTCGTAAACACATGCTTGTTGCCAAGCAACTCAATTTTGATCATGTGTCCATGGGGATCCTGTAATATTTGCCAAGATTGATTGTAAATTACTTTTTTTCAGTGCTGTTAGAATTTCTCATGGTCGCTAAATGAATGGTTGTAAGTCAAGTTGTTGTTTTGCTGTTTTGCTTTTAATTTTCACAGGGAAAGAGGGAAATGTGCAACAATCAGAATTATTTTGGACTGGAGCAAGAAATAAATGCATTTGTTACATTACATCTCTTGTTCAATCAAGGGCCATAATCTAACGTTAAGGGACAGATTATATAGATAATAAAGCCATATTTTGACCATCAGAAATTATTATACAGAAATGTCATGTGTCTTTATGCTCTCTTGAAATCCTTTAACCCCAATAAAATTAAGATGACTTACTGCATCTACCAGACTTAGTAGATGTATATTTGCACTTTGATTATAAACAGATATTTTCAATAGCTTGAGGCATCAGAAGGCCTTTTTACAAGATTTGTATGAAGTAGTTCTGGTATTATTACAGTACAGCTATAAACCAATATGAAATTACTCTTGTGGATCATTCCATATAGAGTTACATGAAAATGGAAGTGAAGGAACACTAAATATATAGTGATTCTGTGACATAACGGAGGCAACATTCAGCTTTCAACTCTGGTTGCAAAAAGTACACTTAAAGCCGGCCTTGGATCAAATATATTAAATCATCTTAACTTCTTAAATTTATTGAGACGAACTGTGTGAGATGTCAGTTGTCATCTTTGTAACTAAGTTACTTCTTCCTCAATTTCTACTTGAAAAAATTGATAAGTGAAAATGTGTCAGTCAATACAAGAAGAATGAAATGTGTCCAACATTAAGCTTGTCATGCTTTCAAAATAACTAATATTTGGTTCTTTGTTTCATCATTCTATGTTTGAAAACTAGTTGATTGGTAGTTTATGAAACTAGTTTATGTTCCACCATTTCACCGGGAACACAAGGTGACATGCATAAACTCTATTCTACCTCCATCCCAGAAACAACCCTTTGAAGTTAATTGAGCTGAGATTAGAGAAAGAGAAAAGTGAATTCTGTGTTTGAGTAGAAACTAGAGTCCAAGTCCCATATCTTAACTGCAGGTAGTTCTTGTTTAATGATAACTCATTCAGTGACTGTTCAAAGTTATGATGGCAACAAACAAGCAGATTTCCAAATGATCTCTGTAGTTGTGGCCATCACAGAATCCCTATGATCATATGATCACAATTTAGGTGCTGGGCAACTGGCTTGAAATTATGCCTGCAGCATCCCATTGTCATGTGATCATCATTTGCAACCTTCACAGTCTGCTCCCAACAAGAAAGTCAATGGGAAAGCTGGCAGGTGATTGCAAATGATGAACATTGACACTGTACCTAACAACTGCACAGGATTCATGTAATAATGTAACCCGGAATTGTCACAATGCTTGTTGTAAGTTGGTGGATGTGGTCACATGACATCATACTTTCCATATCTATAGCAACAGAATTGCCAGTCCCAATTACTTTATTTAAGTGAGAATTACATGTACTCAAGAACCTTGTTTGTATTCCTAATATCCGATATAACAGCGTTCACTGTAAATAACTTTTTCTGGGAAATGTTTTTTTTTCTTCCTTTTCTCTTTTATACATATGATAAACTTTATCTCTTCAGAAGTTACAATACTATGACATTTGTTATTGTATCATCTTTAATATGACAGTAATGAAAATCTATTCATGCAGATTCTCCATTAACTCAAATTCAATTAGCAAACAACTGCTTATTAAAACTATTTTCAGCCTGTAAGGCTTAATGATATCTTTTATTAAAAACCTTAATCTTGTAAATTATTGCTCAAAATAGTTTACATGTATTAATATAATAAACTGCAAGCAGTCAATTGATGAATACCTGTTTGCTCATGGAATAATGTAACAAGAACATTTACATACTGTGTACTAACATTATGGTCCAATAAATGTGTTGGAACCCCACTGACTGAAAACCAAGCAGAGTGAAACTGACACACATTTAGCAGAGCCAGCAGGATAATACTAACAAAGTAATGGATTTGCATCAGCAGAAACTAAATTCAATAATGAACTTAGTATAGATCAGGTGTCAGCAACCTTAAACACTCAAAGAGCCACAAAGGTCCTAACTCGAAGCCCCTTGTTCGATTCTGGAGCTGACCAGAAGTCCGGTTCCCCCACAATAGAGTCCCCTCCAAGCATCCTTCTTCCTCTGCCAACCGGAAATCTGGTTCCCGACCATAGAGTCTCCTCCTGCATGGTGTCCTTTTTCCTTTAACCTTCGTCCTAACCAAAAGCCCTATCAATTGTGAAGCCAACTGGTGACAGGGAGCTGCAGCAGAGGGATGAAAGAGCCACATGTGGCTCCAGAGCCACAGGTTGCTGATCCCTGGTATAGGTAATCTGTTAATTTTTGAAAAATATGCATACATATACATTATCACATACAAAAACACAGTTCTTACAACTGGGAGAGGTCTGGTAAACTGAAGACAGCTCTGTGAAAAAAAATAATTGCAGCAAAGATTAAGGAACTGTGAGTAGACTGGTCCCTTGGAACCCCTCCAGATTAAGGAAGGATTAGAGATCACCCACAAGGACTCCATAGTGGCTACTGTACATGAAGAGACCACAAAACAGCAGTTTTCCATGTGTTTGAGCTCTGGAAGGCAACAGAATTATCCATCTTGCTCACAAACACTTTTAAAGGGCACTAAGCTCCCAAATCACCCTTTCTAATCACTTTTGGAAATGGCTCGTTAATTATTGTAAGCTATTGTCAACTGCATATAAAGAAAAATTATATAAAATGTTTTATAGGTGGCACTTTCTGCCTGCATGATTAGCAAAGATGTTTAAGGATATGTCCGCTAAGTGCTGGAAACATAACCAGATACCAGATTCATATTATCACATGTGATGGACATGCCCAAAGGCAAATAAATATTGGACAAAAATACACACATGGTTAGAAAAAATAGTAAAGCAACATATAGTCATAAACATATAGCCCACCCCACTCCAGGGGAAGGATACTGCAAAATCCCTATTCCATCCCCACTCCTGGGGGAAGGATATTACAAAATCTCCATTCCCACCCCACTCTGGGACCAGCCAGAGGTGGTATTTGCCAGTTCTCTGAACTACTCAAAATTTCCGCTACCAGTTCTCCGAACTACTCAAAATTTCCTCTACTGGTTCTCCAGAACCTGTCAGAACCTGCTGGATTTCACCCCTGCCTTGCTCCCAGTGAACATCTGCATTATGTTCTATATTTTTGTTGGGTATTTTACCAGAGAAATACAATAAAGGGAATACATATCTAATTTTACATGTATTAACAGTTGCCAGAATTGTGCTTGCACAACAATGGAAAAATGAAGAGATTCCTACAGATGAAATTGTAATAAAAAATTAGAATGTGCAGTAATGTGTAGTTTAACACTTAAAATTAAGGAAAAAAGAAGAAACTGAATATTTTTTTAACATGGGATTTGTTTTATCAATGGCTTATCAGTAGAAACAGAAGTTAGAAACCTAAGAGTATAAGAGAAGGATAAATTACAATGAAGATTTACTAAAATGGATAAATAAATATTACTATTATCATGTGATCATTACTGATCCTAAGAATATTATTTTTACTATTACCAATATTATATCTCAAACTCAGACAGCACACTGTTTATATAGATATTGAATTTCTATGTTTTACATTGTAAAAAAAAAGTATACAAAATATATATTGTAAGCTATCGCAGACCTGCAGAATGACAAGTTTGAAAACATCAAATGAATATTAGAATATTGATCTTTTTACAAAAAGTTTTTGTAATTAATTTTAAAGTACAAACAACATTTCATGGGAAATAGATCCTGTCTTAGTTTTATAAACAAAACATAACATATTGTAGATAAGCAATTTCGTGATTTCAAATATCGGATACTAGAGGGGACAAAAGGTTTTAGGTAGACGATAGATATATTGTTGTGGCCCACCAGTAGCCTGCGTGGATCGTGGTTGATCCCAACGAAGAGGAGACTGGTGTGGTGTTGCGCCAGCAGCCGGCGCAGCCGGCGCTTGCATTGGACAGCGAGGAGGCTGAAGAGGATGTGGTGCCAGTGGCAGAGACTCAGCCAGGGCCTTCAGAACCTCCAGAGGCTCCTTCAAGTGGAGAGAGCGAAGTGGAGGAGCCTTTTTTCAATGCTCGAGCACGCAGGTCTGCCAAAAGGCAGAAGTGGCTACTCAGGAGGAGGAGGTCTCCTCGAGAGTAAGGCTTGAGGATAATTGGCCACTCCCTTAGCCTATTTAAGTCGCACGCAGCTAGTGCTTTCTTGCTGGAAACAACTCATATTTATAATCAGAGTATTTTGATTATCATATCTTGCTTTCTGGGCTGGTTGCCAACCTTTGCCGGTCTTGTTTATTCTTGCTACTTAATAAATTTGACAAGTGAGAGAAATAAGGATTATTCCTGTAAAAAGTATAACCTGAGCTACGCCATTTTAAGTGCCTTATTTTACCTTGTATAACCTGATTATATAATTTAGCTAAGAGAGCATAATAAGATTTAAGAACATGAGAAGAGGAACTGTGTAGTTCCTGTGTATGTTCTTAAAAGCTGATGTATGTTCTTAAATCTGCTTGTTTTGCAGGATATATTCTTCTGGGTCATTGTGCCCTCATTAACAAGGGGAAGTACGCATATAATGATATCACAAGCATAAGCAATATCCTTGTATGGGGTATTTTTACTGGAAAAATGGGGAACTTCCAGGGGGCAAAACCTGTGCTAAATATGTTATATAAGATCTGAAACTGATGCTCTAGTGACTTACTTATATCCTGTTGTATTAGACCTGTGCATCCTGAAAACTGTATATAAGATCGGTGAGTGGAAGGCTTAATTGTTCTCTCTTCCTATGAGAGAGAGACACTTTGCAAAGTTATAATAAAAACCTGTCTTGGTCTGTTCATAGTCTCTGTTTTTATTCCTAAAAAGGTAAATGCTGGTTTCCTGAATACCACAATTGGCGCCGGAAAGGGACTTGAAGACTTTTCGTCTGGTAAGGATAATATCCTGCTAAGCACGCACACACTGTTTAGGTGTACAGGCTTATTTCCTTTCCAGTCAGAATTGCTCTTTTTAGACCCTGAGACAGAGACATGAACACCAAGGCAGTGGAACGTTCCTGCGGCTGCAGTGCACTGGGAGTGAGTGAGTATATGTATTTGGGGTTTTTCTTTTTGGTTTGGCTTTGTGTATGTTTGGGACTGTTTGTGCATGTATACAGTATGTGTGTGTTTGTATGGTCTGTATGGTATGTGTGTAATTAATCAGAAAGGCAGGGACGGTATGGGGCTTTTACTGGGCAAACGTGTTGCTGATACTAACAATGAAATACCCTCCATCCCTCCTATATCCCTCTTAGGGGAGTTGTTAACTCAGTGGACAGAGGACTGGTTAAAGGCTTATACTAAACCAGTGGTTCTCAACCTGTGGGTCAGGACCCCTTTGGGGGTCGAATGACCCTTTCACAGGGGTTGCCTAAGACTATTCGGAAAACACATATTTTCAATGGTTTTAGGAATAATTTTATGATTGGGGGTCACCCCAACATGAGGAACTGTATTAAAGGGTCACGGCATTAGGAAGGTTGAGACCCACTGTACTAAACAGTTAGATAAAGTGGCTATGATTAATTATTGTATTAGGGTGTGGCCGACATTTGTGTTGATAAAGCCTAATTACAGGTGGAGTAAATTTGGGGAATCAGACCCATATTGGATTAATGCTTTGAAAAAAGTTGTGGAGCAAAATGAATTGAGGTCTCAGTTGCCATATGTGGAACCGTGGTTTCATGTTCAGTGGTTTGACCCCTTTCCCCCGAAAAGTTCTAGAGCATTGTATGGGAAGGAAGAAGAAGAGAAAGGCTGTGATCCTTTAGCTTATGCCACATGTCCACCTCCCCCTCCTCCATATAATCAGAATGGAGCAGGAGCCATGGGTGGAATTGATGAGGCTGCTGGGAGCAGTGTGGGAGAGACTTCGGCAGTTCGGCAATATCAGCAGTTGAAGAGGGAGGTAGATGAACTGTCAGTAACTGTGAGACAGAATCAACCCCCTTCCCCTTGTGTGGCATGATCACAGACAAAGAAGATGCTCCCTTTAAGGGAGATGCCTAATGGCACAACTGGTGCAGGTGTACCGATTACAACGTTTGTGAATGTGCCTTTAACATCTTCAGATTTGAGAAATTATAAAAGCAACATGCCGTCTTTACAGGCAGATCCTATTCAGTTATCTGAATCCTTAGATCTGTTCCTGGGACCCAATCAAGGACCATTGGTGTGTGTCAATATCCTCGGAAATCCGGAGCTGGGGCAGAACATATATAGGCCTGTAAAATGGTATGAAATGTTATGACAAGAACAATACTGAAAAAAACTTTTGAAAAACAGTATAAAACTAGTAACCACAATATCAACAATGTCAGTAATAATATCTGCTTCTGTGGATAGATTATGTCCAAAGGATATTATTGAAGAAATGGCAGATGTAGAACAAATTTTATCTGACAAGATAGAGATGGTATTGAAAGTGGATTTACAACTGACAGGCCAAGAGAATGGCTTAGAAAAAGATGTTTCACTGAATCTACAAAAGAACCTGGCTGAGGTTTTAAAAATTAAACGACAATGACAAACCAAGAAAGTGACCTGGATTTTTTTTTTTTCTCCTTAGGGATTTACAAAAGAGGCTTGTTAAAGCTTGAAGAACCCTGTGTGATAGAACAAAGAAGAAATGAAGAAAAATAAAGTCCTATGACAAACTAAAGATTATGACTGCAAGAGTTTATTTGATCAAGGTTAAAAAGAGACACGCTATTAGTTTTGATTAAACTTTATGGAATTTCTGCTGATACCAAGGTTGAAAAACCAAGTTTCGATTATTCTTTTCCTTTTCTTCTCTCTCTCTCTCTCTCTCTTTTCCTTTTTATCCATGTACTTTTTACTCCTCTTTCTTCTCTTTCCTTAAGTTCAGTTTGTATATTTTGTATAATCAAAGTCCTTAAAAATGCACATTACTTGCTATTGCACTCTTCTCTAGAACAGGACATAGATAAGAAAATTTAAAATATTGTTTTTGATCCTTTTTCATTCAATTGCCATGTAACAGGAAGTTCCGATGGAATTGAACATAAGAAAATAAGTATATAAAGAATTGATAAAGTACCTAACACCCAAAGAGGAAAAAAAAAGAAAGCAATGAATCTATCAATATTGGTTTCAAGTTTCTCATGTCTTATGACTAGTTGTTAATGCTCTGAAATTTTGTTTTTATGTATTTAGTTATTTTTACATTTTTATTCCCTTTTTCATGTATGAGATGGCAAACATACCAATAGTCTCTCTATTTTTCATTCCTTCTTCTATTTTTTTCCCATAACAATTAATCTGTGAGGTAGGTTGGGCTGAGAGAGAGTGACTGGCCCAAAGTCACCCAGCCAGCTTTTATACCTAAAGTGGGACTAGAACACCTAGTCTCCTGGTTTTTCACCACTACACCAAATGGTGTATTTGAATTTATTTACATATTTCTCTGCACATACCTATTTTTACATTTCCCTTATTTAATATATGATTACACATCATTTTAGAAATATTTTCTTGACACGTCTTTTCTAAAAAAGATAACAAACTGTTAGATAAAATGCAGTTTTTAAAGGATACATTTCAGCTTTCTGCTACTCTAAAAACTAAAAATAAAAACCCAATATCTGCCAGAAAACTATATTTGATGTGATGTTAATTATAGTCTTGCATACATCTCTCCAATGGCTATATTTCCTTAATAAAGCAGTTTCTCGAGAAGTTGTAAATGAGAAGTGTCTTTTGTAAGCTTAAATCCTTACTCATCAGTCCCTAAAGCTTCTTATTTGAGTGACGAGGAAGAATTTTGAGATTGTATATGCAATTCAGAACATCATGTGGAGTTTCACAAGGGTTCATAATTAAACACACAGCCTGATATATAAAGCATTACAGCCCTGATTCTTGAGTACAAGCCAAAACAGTAAGGTAACATCTCCTTGAAGCTAGCAAGCAAACATGGAAATTTATTCAGCTAATTATAGCTAAGGGTATGGAAGTGATTTGCCATTTCCTTCTTCTGGGATATTTTTTTTCAATTTCCAAGTCCTGATATTCCCTGAAGGACTTTGCGAGGCTCTTTGACATCTGCCAGAACCAGAAATAACACTTACTGAAGCAGGACTCTCCCTCTTTGGCCAATTTTTTTTTTTAAAAAAAGAATAGCCATTACAGAGTCATCCAGAGGATGATTCTGATGACAGAACACAGTTGATCATATTTGTTGTACTACCTGCTTTTTGTGGGTGATAGTGGTGATGGTGGAGAAGATATTGTTCCCATTATAAGCAATGCAAAGTTTTAAGATCTTAACTATATATTGTGACTCCCATTTTCTTCCTTGTACAAACCCATCTGATATCAGGGGAGTCCTGATGTTGAACCATCCCTGGAGTTGGGGAGAAGAAAGGCAGGAGTGAGAAATAGATGCTGCATTTATCCTATGAGGTTGGAGAACTCCTTCTAAAATTAGAGGGTGAACTCCAATCTGTCATGCAGCTCCTGGGCTATTTTTCCACAGGAATACATCTTTAATTGGATCCTGAATCAACCAAGAACATATAACGTCATTTAAACATTCCAGGCAGCATCCAATAATTCAGAAAGAAACTGTCATTGCTAGGAAGAGGAGGATATTCAAAATAAGCTGTTTATGACAAATTAAAAATGAAATATTATTTATCTTTTGTACATGGCATTATGTTCAGTGAATTTGTTGTGTTGTGGTTGGCTTGTCCATTAAAAACTCACCAGAAATGCAACATTTTAAATTGCAGACATTTAAGCAACACGGAAGGCAGTTAACTTCATTGCCAGCCCCTTAAAGTATTTTTAAATGAGCTCTAAATGTCCTGTAAAGTAATGCCTAAGATTTATTCACTTCTCTTGATTAGCCTTAAGCAAGATAAAAATGTTACAACAGCTCACTGTAGCAGAACAGTTAGTTACTCTATGTAGAGTTGGCAATTCCTTAGCAATGTTGGCTTCCAAGCAGAGTTAGGAAAATCTGCCAGTATCCAAAGTTACTTGATCAATTTCAGTTTTATGCAAAACACATTTATATGTGGAAGTCGAGACACGTTATTTAGCCCAGTTGCAGAATAGCTACCTTATTTGTTTGTTTTTTTCAAAATTCAACCAGCACTTTACAGTTTGACAAAAATAATAATAATAATAATTACATGTTGTGAATATTAACTATGTATTAATAACAGAATAAGTAAGAGTTGGAAGAGACCTTGGAAGTTTTACAGCCCAACCCCCTGATCAAGCAGGAGATCCTATACTGTTCCAGACAAATAGCTATCCAATCTTTTCCTAACAACCTCCAAAGATGAAGCACCCACAACTTCTGGAAGCAGGCCATGTCACTTTTTAATTGTTCTCACTGTTAGGAAATTTTAACTTTATTATTTAATTTACAAAAATATTAACTTCTGTTTGTTGTACATCCACTCTTGAGTTACCCTGAGCAATTTTTTAGACTTTTAGTTTGTATATTGTTAACATAAATGTGTTATCCTGCATCTTTTTATTTTATCCCTCCTTCTCTGTCTGTCTGTCTGTCTGTCTCTATTTCTCTCTCTCCCCCCTCTCCCTCTCCCTCTCCCTCTCCCTCTCCCTCTCTCTCTCTCACACACACATCCCTGTTATTTCAATTGCAAATTAAAATGGTGGCAGAGTAGAAGCTGCCTTGCTGAGCTTCTTTCCCCTCCTGATATTTTATTTGTGTTGCCCGTTTTTATAAACAGCCTGGCTACACATCTTAATTTTTATCTAGCTTCATTTCACCTATTATTCAATAGCATTATCTGTGAAAACAGGCTGGAGTAAGAACTATTAATTCTGTTGGAAATAACTTTTACGTAATAATTGGTTCCTGCTTAAACACATTGAATTATCATGGTGAGCAAATGTTATTTAAGACTCATTTCCAAAAATGGCCAAACTCTAAGGACTCCGTGCAAGATCATTTTATAACAGATTAAATAATGGTCTGGATAAACTAAGCTTGTCACACTATAAATGTTACAAAAGGTGTTGAGGTTCTATGCATAGATTGGTTTTGCTGTGCACTAAAGGCTGCTTTTACTTTTTTTTTAAAAGACCCTTCTATTTAATTAATATGAATTTCCCTAATATTTTTCTTCTGAGCCCAAATCTGAATATAAATAAATAAATGCTGCACTACAACTTTCTTCTGCTTTTTTTGCCCATACCTATTTCATTTGCTAGGAAAAAAAGAGAACCGAATCCAAGAAGAAGAAGGAGAAGGAGAAGGAGAAGGAGAAGGAGAAGGAGAAGGAAAGGGAGAGGGAGAGGGAGAGGGAGAGAGAGGGAGAGGGAGAGGGAGAGAGAGATGGGGGGAGGAGGAGGAGGAGGAGGAAGAGGAAGAGGAAAAAGAAGAAGGCGAAGGCGAAGAAGAAGAAGAAGAAGAAGAAGAAGAAGAAGAAGAAGAAGAAGAAGAAGAAGAAGAAGAAGAAGAAGAAGAAGAGAAGAAGAAGAAGAAGAAGAAGAAGAAGAAGAAGAAGAAGAAGAAGAAGAAGAAGAAGAAGAAGAAGAAGAAGAAGAAGAAGAAGAAGAGAAGAAGAGAAGAAGAAGAAGAAGAAGAAGAAGAAGAAGAAGAAGAAGAAGAAGCTTTTCTGCCTTCCCACGTTCAGTTATAGCCGCAGTTTCTTCTGCTGGCTTGTTCAGATCAGCAAACTAAAGTAGTAAAGAGAGACACATAATAGAAAGAGCTGAATTTAAAAAATGATACACTTAGGGACTAAAGAAACTGACAAGTAAAGTTGCAGGCAATTGAGCTTTCCATGGACATGTCCCTGAAGCTCTTTTGGCAAGAACAGAGCAATGATTTCTTCTCACTGTCTAGCTTACAGCCTTGCATGTCTCCCATACACATATTAACTAAGCCAAATCTTGCTTAGCTTCTAAACACAGACTAGGTTGGCCAGCTGCTGTCATTTGTTTTCACGTGATATAAAAATTTAGGCAGTATTTATCCTCAAAAATGATCTGGAAGGACTAGTAGAAAAGCAATAGATGACGGAACATTTACCAAATGTTGTTTCTTTAATTCAAATAATTACCTACCACTTCTGTATTTTTGTTTCATTTGAAAAAAGACTTCCTATTATACCCTCCCCAAAGTATTACAAAACACAATGAGCAGTAATCTACATTTACATGCTGCAAGTCCATTTTGGCTCCAAGCTAATTAAAATCAAATCAAAGTGGTTTCTGGTTGGGAAACTCAGCATGTGAATGGTAGTTTATGCAAATGTAAGTACAGAATAATGTAATTGCAAATGCTGTTTCTGCAAATATTCATTTTTTCTTTTCCAACTGTTCAAAAATCATCATCTTGTTAGATCTTTGGAAAGGGAATTTCAAATATTATATTTAGAATATTATTCCAGTAGAATTTAGTATTGCTGTCAGTGCTGAAGCAAGAGACAGATGCTGTACATTGACTGCTGTCTGGGTGAAGAATGTTTCCCCCCCTTTCTATCCAAATAGCTAGAAGTACCAGAGCATGACTGCAAGGGAGACAGCATATTTCTCTTGCACTTGCCAAGCAGGAAGTAATTTCCAGGACAATTAATAATGCTTGTGAAATTAAAACAGTTGAAATTACTGCAGCAGAAACAAGGGTAACATCCAATGCCTGATGCAAAGAGATGATAGAAGGCAGATCTAATATGTGGTTCAGTGTTTGTATTACTATTATGGTTGATATTGTTGTTATTCAACCACCCAAAATGCCTGTTGAGAGCTGTAATATTTTAATTTTTTAACAAAATATTTAATCCATCTCCCTGTTTACTTGCTGACTTTTTTTTCCAAACCAATCCCTTCTTAGCATTTTAAGATTGAATCCACATGCAAACACCCAAAGCATTTTCTAGTTCACTGGCTCCAGGGATGGGATTCTACTGGTTTGGACCAGTTCGGGTGAACCAGTAGCTCCAACGATCAGCTGGGAGAGAACCGGTTTGCTCCGATGATCAGGTGGGCCTGCCCACCCACCCCTGCACTTTACTGACTTATATCTTCTCAGTTGATTCACGTGGCAGAACAGATTGCCACACCTCAGTTGTATTACTCCCCAGTAGTTACTGCGCACGCAGCAATCACCAAACTGGTTGTTAAACCAGCAAGATCCCACCACTGCCTGCCTTCAACAATTTTAAATGTTCCCATGTCTTGTTTATTTGATTTTTTATCCCTCTTTTATTACTTTAGTAACTCAAAGCAGCACACATTCCTAATATTCCTCATTTCTCCTATTTTCCTCACAACAACAGTCCTGTGTGGTGGGTTGGGTTGAAAAAGAGTGACTGGCCCAAATCACCCAGTTGGCTTTCATGCCTAAGGCAGGTCTAAAACATTATCCTGGTTTCTAGGCCAGCATCCTAACCACTAGACCAAACTGGGTCTCTTAAAGTAAGGTGTCTCATTACTATGCCTTAGCTGTTGCAAATGTATAAGTATGCTTTGCTTACTTCATGGTAAGAATGTGATTGCCCAGCAGGGGTGAAATCCAGCAGGTTCTGACAGGTTCTGGAGAACCGGTAGCAAAAATTTTGAGTAGTTCAGAGAACTGGCAAATGCCACCTCTGGCTGGCCTCAGAGTGGGGTAGGAATGGAGAATTTGCAATATCCTTGCCCCAGGAGTGGGATGGGAATGGAGATTTTGCAGTATCCTTCCCCTGCCATGC